ATATGCTATAGTTTTGTAAAACATTTCCAGTAGAGAAAACTGGAGAGTGTACAAGAGGTCTCTCTATATTACTTCTTACAATTGCACATGAATTTACAACTATCTTAAAAATTTCAATTAAAAAAAGTAGACGACTTAGGTAAAGGTATATAACCCTTTTCCTACTTAAAAAAGTAGTAATATTAAAGCATATATACTGGGAAAGATAGTTGAATATAATTTTAAGGAAAATATGTTGCCATATATCAGTAGCACCAGAATTGCTTAGTACATCAAAATCAGGAAATAGTTCTCAATGGTGGACCCACTTTCTTTTTATGTTTATAAAAAAATTGAAGTATTGTATTTTAACACTCATTTCTCTATTCAAAATTAAACAGATTTTAATTAATAGAGTAAGAATTCATATATACATATCAATGGTTAAAAAAAGGATTTATAGGCAATACCATACCTTACTATACCTTTCGGTTGCACTATGCCTGTTAGCCCAAAAATTGAGATAACCAATATTATTTTTGGTTGGAGAACTAAGGATATAATATTTCTTTATGTTCTATCCTGAATTCTGAAAATTATAATGTAAAAGGATGCCCAGGCTGGGCATGGTGGCTCACGTCTGTAATCCCAGTGCTTTGGGAGGCCAAGGTGGAAGGATTGCCTGAGCCCAGGAGTTTGAGACCAGCCTGAGCAACATGGTGAGATCCTGTCTCAAACAAACAAATAAATATATGTGCAGAATTACATTTTGCATAATATATGGGGACAGTAAAATCTAGAATATGAAACTGTTGTCACTCTGGAATTATCAACATGGTACTCTGACTAAATTAAATATTCTCAGATGAGCAAAATAAAACCTGGTGGCCAAAAACTCAAGTAGAGAAATAGGTTTAAAAAACAAAAACAACACTGGAAGAAATGAAATGGGAGTTCATCAAATTCAGGAAAGAAACAAAGAAAAAGACAAAGATAATCTTGGAAGTGAAAGATACATTACCAAATGCAAGAGAAAATAGAAAGAATGAAAATCTAGTGAAGGACATTAAATGGAAATGAGACTTTTTTGTAAAAATAAAAAGGATCTTAGGAAAAGAATATATAGAAAGAGAAGACCGGCAAAGGATGTCCAACATAACTGGAGTCTGTGAAGAAGAAAAATAGAACAGAGGAAAAGAATTAATAGATAAATTATAATTCAGATAAACTTTCTGGGAATAAGGGAAATGTTACCCTACATTTTGAAGGACCTGAAATGATAAACTCTGAGATGTATTTTAGTAAAATACTAAAGATGAATTGAGGCTCGGTACATTGGCTAACACCTGTAATCCCAGCACTTCCGAGGCTGAGGCAGGCCTCAGGCAGATCACGAGGTCAGGAGTTTGAGACCCGCCTGGCCAACAACCTGTCTCTACTAAAAATAAAAAAATTAGCCCGGCATGGTGGCATGCACCTGTAGTCCCAGTTGGGAGGCTGAGGCAGAAGAATCGCTTGAACCTAGGAGACGGAGGCTGCGGTGAGCCAAGACTGCACCATTGCACTCCAATCTGGGCAACGAAGCAAGACTCTGTCTCTAAAAATATAATAAATAAATAAATAAATAAAGATGAATTGAGGCTGGGCGCAGTGGTTTACGCCTATAATTTTAGCACTTAGAGGTTGAGGCAGGAGGATCCCTTGAACCCAGGACTTTGAGACCAGTTTGGGCAACATATTGAGACCTAAATTAAAGGTCTCAATATGTTGAGACCTAAATTAAAGGTCTCAATCTCTACAAAATTAAAAAAACAATTACCAGTTGTGGTGACATGTGCCTGTAGTCCTAGCTATTCAGGAGGCTGAGGTAAGAGAATGGCTTGAGCTAGGGAGGTCAAAGCTGCAGCGAGCCACCACAGCACTGCACTCCAGCCTAGGTGACAGAGCAAGACCTCATCTTAAAAAAAAAAAAAAAAAAAAAAAAAATATGAATTGGACTGGCAACACATTTCAGAAGAACAACATGCAAATCATGCCAACAGAGTAGTGATTTCCAGAAATTCAAGAAAGTACCAGCCAAGAATTTGATAGCCAGCCAAGTTTTTTTTAATTATGGCAGCTATAAAAAGTTTGAATATTGAAGAACTCATTGGATATTGTATCCATGAGCCCTTGAGGAGTTCATTAGAGGATGAGCTGAACCCAACCAAGAGATTATTGGGGCAGCTTCAGTAAAAGAACTGTGAGCATTTGCTATATTAAATTAAGGACTAAATACAAGGGTGGGAACATGGGTAGAAGAACAGTATGAAATGTTACCTGTTAGACAAAGTACAAATAATACCACTTTTCAAAAGGAGGAGAAAGGGGAGAGAAACAGAAAGCCGAGTAAGATCACAGGCTGTTCTGTGGGTGGGGAATAAAGGAGACCATTTAAAACTGACAGACCAGACACAAAAAGCTTAAGAAAAAATAAATGTGGGGGCAGGGGTTAGGTGGAAATTAAAGGGGTGTAAAAACACTGTAAATGCAAAAGTAACTAGAATAAAATTATAAACCTTGCTACATACCAAAAGAAAATGTAAAAAATAGCAAAGCATGTAGAGAAAGGAACACAGTAAATATTACCTAATACACACAGTAATTACACAGTAGTGACTGAGGTAGAACCAAGCATCTCAGTCATATCAAATATGAGAGGTTTAAATTGCCTATTAAAAAGATTTTCAAGTTGGTTCAGAAAGCAAATGTTAAAATTTGGTTTAGGCAGGAATCTGTGAGTGGATGCTAAAATCAAGGGTGGGAGATTTGGTAAGGCTCAGGATTTTTGCATGATCTCCTTACAGATTCTCCTTATGGTATCTCCTTACAGATTACTCATTAGCCATGAGGGTAAAAATAATAACTATATAGTAGAAAGGCTGGACAGTACCTTCACCAGATAATTAAAATTAATATCACCGAAGAGAAAGTTAGGTACATCATGGCCTGTGACTATGATACCCTTAGAAGAGCACATCTTACAGTAGCCTAGCAAGGATTGTGTAAAATCTAATGATGAAGAATAGCAGACAAACCCAAATTGCAGAACATTTTATAAAATAAGTGACCTCTGTTCTTCAAAAAATACCAGTGTTATAAAAGAAAGGCAAACTCTGGAACACCCCCAGATGAAAGGAATCTCAAAAGACCAAACAAAATCTGTGGCCTTGGGTTAGATTCTCTACTGGATGGAGAGAAATACATTATTAGGGTGATTGACAGAATTGGAATGTGGATGATTAAATTACTTTAGCAATATTAAATTTTCCAGAATTTGATTACTGTTTATGTAAGAATATCCTTATTCTTAAAAAGTCATATTGAAGTTATGAGGCAAAGCATGAGGTGTGAACCTACTCTCAAATGGCTAAAACAAAGAAACATAATGTTGGGTTGGGGGAGATAAAGCAAAGTTAGCAAAAATGCTTAAAAGTTGAATTTGAGTAAAGTATTTGCAAGATCTCTGTTCTTTAAACTTTTCTCCAAGTTTAAAAAAAATTTTTTTAAAGATCTCTAGGTTTGAACTAAGCCAGAGACTAATACACATACACCAAAGTAAAATTTTAGTTACATAATTGTGTCACTCTCCCTCTCCCCTCCTCCTTTGAATACTGAGTGTTTTACCAGTTCAAATTACAACCCTTTGGAAGGCCTGCCATTGAATATCAGTCTGTATTAAGCTATAGATACTATTTCTCTTAAAGCTTGTTTTTCTGTTACGTTTTTATAGAACTTGCCTTTTTTTTTTTTTTTTCCTTAAAATATACTTGATAGGAAAAAAACATTTTCTAAATGTATCCTTTGACCACCAATAAAATGCATGGTCCAGTGGGGAAAAAACCCAGCTGTTTGATTTCTTCCCCACTCATTTCCTTATGTTCTGAGAATAAAATGGGGATCAGATGGGTTTAGACACCTTTAAATATCAATGTCTTTCCTTATTTTTATCTTGCTCCAAAGTGAGCTCTATCAAACAATATGTAGACAGTAGTTTTCTAAGCCTTGCCAGCTGTTTTGCAACTACAACCATTAAGTTCTTTTATCTTTCAAGGAACAGCTTGTTCTATGTCAAAAGAAAAATATTTGAAGATACTTTGTCTTAATAATTTCATTTCTTTTAGTTTATATATAATATAAACTAATATAAGTAGTTCTGCCTAGCCCATGTGTGAAGACAAGAGAACATCAGTTGAAATTTGAGATGATGCATCCAATCTTAGGTGCTATATTAATGAATTTTTTAATTGGGAAAAACCAATTGTTAAAATAAAAATTAACTTTATACCCACTGATTCTTCAGCAGTATTTATACGAAGTTTCTTACTTCTGTTGTAATGCTCTATGGAGAAAAGAGAACCACATGGTTTTACTAATGTAACAATCCAGGAGCCTCATTATACATTTCCAAATGGAGGAGCAGTATCTCACACACACTGAGAAGGTTGCACAGTGTTTTTCGATCTTTATTACTAGTGCAGTGCTAGATTACTGACTGATCCTAACTATGATGATTAAGGATGCTTACATGATTTTTAAGTGTATGAAAAGTGTGAATTCTTTAGAGAGCATTGATGTTTACTGTACAGGTTTAAAATGCCTCCTTAAATAAGAAGATCGAAATCATACATGTAACTGTTTTTTTAGAAGTATTGAATTACTTATTATTTAAGGACTGAGGATTTTTTTTAAACATTATTTAGCCAAAAACTGCTATGTAAAGTCAGTGAAAATCATGTCAAAGTGCCTGTGATACTGCAATACTAAGAAAGGCAAATCTTGTATAGAATGAATTTTTTTTTTTTTTGCTTAATCTTTGTAGTGATAATATTATTTAACTGTTGATAATTTTCCTTGGTACATTTTGAGTTCCTAAATTTCTAACCATTCTACTTATAACTGTTTTGGTAATTGCAGTCTTTTTTTTATACAGGATTTTGTCATTAATATAATATTTTAAGTAATTTTTCTTTTCTAACTAGGAAGAAGCATTGCATGCATTTATTCAGCCAGAGATTCTGGATGGCCCAAATCAATACTTTTGTGAACGTTGTAAGAAGAAGTGTGATGCACGGAAGGTAAATGCCATGTAGAGATTAATACTTAGGACTTTGAGGTAATATTCCATATTCAATAGAGTCTCCTCCTTTTTCTTTTTGTTTTTTAGGGTCTTCGGTTTTTGCATTTCCCTTATCTGCTGACCTTACAGCTGAAAAGATTTGATTTTGATTATACGACCATGCATAGGATTAAACTGAATGATCGAATGACATTTCCTGAGGAACTAGATATGAGTACATTTATTGATGTTGAAGATGAGGTAAATATTTGTTAGTATAAAGTAGTTTTCATTAATCCACATTAGTCAGTCATGTTTTTGAAAGAGCTGTTTGGTAACAACACTGATGTTATTTAGACTGTTATCTTGATGGAACCTTCTTCTTATTTTCTAATACGGAGTTCAATAACATGACTTAACTTTATATAAGCTTTTCCTGACTGCATAAATTATATTTTAAATATTGTTGCTTGATCAGAGTAATTTCTGGTACTCTTTGAAAAGACAATAAGAAAAGTCAGCTTTGGAATTATTTCTTAAACTTGAGTGATAATCTTATGTTCTGTAATTGTGTTGTTACTGAAACTAGTCTGCAGGTAAGCCATACTCATGTTTCTGATCCATAACAAATGCAGACAAATGCCTATGATGGAATGAATGAACCAACTGAGTAGCATGGGCTTAAATTCTTGTATTTACTTATTATTTTACATTTATTTACTATTTTGTCTGTTTTTCTTTTTAAATTTTTTAAATTTGAAACTTTATTTAAATAATTTAAGCATGGGATGTTGAATGACATATGTAATGCTTATCAATTTCTTTCCACTCATTGGCCTCCCAGAATTCTCTGGTTCCTCTCTCCTTCTTCAATGAAAGATTTACAGTATTCCACTCTGTTATTACGGAAACTCTTCTGATTTTATTATGTGGAATATTTATAATCACTTAGGCTAATTACTTCAGAATGATAAATATTAGTCTCGGAATTAACTTGAAGCTTTTTTTTTTTGGGAATTGATTACTATAAAGATGCCTTTTCTCAGGAGTTCAAAAATAAACATTCATCAAGTTTTATTTAGTACTATTAAGTACTGTGAGGCAGTGTCATATAGAAGAGCACATGTTTTAGGCCTAGCTAGATGTGAGTTCAAATTCTTGTCCTACTTCTTGCTAGCCTCTTGACCTTGGATAAGTCATGAAACCTTTTGAGCCTCGTTTCCAGATGCCTTAGATGAAGTAGCTGCTCATTGAATGGTAACTATGATCAGAATACATTTTGAAAAGTTTAAAGTAATGTCTAAGACACTTGTGCTTAAGCTAGGAAGTCTACCCAAAGTATGCCAGACTTTCAAAGGAGACATAATCTTTGTAGGATTTCTACTCAGAGATCAGTATTAGATTGGTCTTCTGAATATGCCTAATATATTTCTTTTAAAGGGAAATCTTTGTTCCAAAGAAAGAAAACCTATATATGAAGCTTAGTAGAAACTTTTCTAGAGAGTTCTAGGTCTAGTTCTTGGGACAAGAAATGTTTTGGCTCAGCTAAAGGAGTTTCAGGAATTATAGTATCTCTTTGGACTTAGTTCTATAGCTGGATTTCACCTTCATTTTCCCTTGAACCTAACGTTCTTGAGAGATGAAAACTGTATACTAGATGTAGTACCTACTACAGAGTTCCTGGCGAAAACTTTGTGCTGATTGTATATTGCTTCGTTGCACTCAAGAACTTCTGTGCAAAGCCTTACACATTTCAAAAATAGAAAATTCTCAAATTATTTAAATAACATTTTTAGGGATGTATATAAAACATTAAAAAGAGGGGAAAAGATTGTTTGGAGTTTTTTAACAAAGAGAATTCTTCAAATTACATTTGTGTGGATGTGATTTAAAAACCATAAAGTGGAAAGTATAATTGCTATAACTATTTCTACTTCCTGTGAAAAGACCATAAAGTTCTTAAGGATAAATGCAATGTCTTATTTTTCTTTCTAATTATAATACCTGATAATTATATCACTGATAAACTGAGTTGAACTTTTTTTTATAGCTATGTGTCGCTAGTGTTGAACTTTTTGTTCAAAAGAGATGATATTCTTTTATAATTTGAGAACATCAAAAGCTGCTTTTGAAGCTCAGCTTCTCTGATTTTGTGGATTTTGCTAAAAGAAACAATAATTTCAATGTAGTTTCAACTGTTATGTTGTAACAGTACACATAAATGAAGTTTAATAGAATTTTGAATCACTAATTTGTTGTGTTTAAATTTTAAGGACATAATAGAAAAGCTTTTAAAATACATTTTGCCTGTTTAATTTTACTTAAGGTCTCACTTTTTAAGAGAAAATAAATTTAAAGTAAAATATTTTTACTAGCATGTTAAATTGTGTGAAAATGTTAGCACTATATAGGTACAAAGTTGTGTTGAACATATTTGCTCTGTATTTGGTTTATAACTAAAATAATTATGTCTTATTAAGAAATCTCCTCAGACTGAAAGTTGCACTGACAGTGGAGCAGAAAATGAAGGTAGTTGTCACAGTGATCAGATGAGTAATGATTTCTCCAATGATGATGGTGTTGATGAAGGAATCTGCCTTGAAACCAATAGTGGGACTGAAAAGATCTCAAAATCTGGACTTGAAAAGGTACCTTTTGTAGTCTGCATTTTTTAGTTGAAAGTGGGAATAATCTCTGACTTGCTGTATAATTCTGTAGCTGTTGTGACAAAGTTCTCTTTAAAAGAAACTTAACTTTTTAAAGTTAAGACTTCTCAAATACAGGGTTTTTTTTGGTGCATGTTTATATATGTGTGTGTGTGTGTGTGTTTGTGTGTGTGTGTTTATATACATATATATGATTATAATTAAACTTCAGGAGAAACTGCTCACTAGTTGTAACATTAATTTTTGGGAGACCATACTGTTAACTGTCTAAGCAAGCTGGATAGTAAAGGATGCCTAACAGTCAAGAAACCACGATTCTGTTACCACCTCTGTTTTAAGGTTGCAGCAAGCCTCTGAGAAAAGCAAAATGTTGGATTAGAATCATAGATTTTTAAAAGTTTGGCCATGTAACACTTTATGAGACAGTTAATAATGGATCTGATCTTTTTTTTTTTTTTTTTTTTTTTTTTTGAGACGGAGTTTTGCTCTTGTTACCCAGGCTGGAGTGCAATGGCGCAATCTCGGCTCACTGCAACCTCCGCCTCCTGGGTTCAGGCAATTCTCCTGCCTCAGCCTCCTGAGTAGCTGGGATTATAGGCACGCGCCACCATGCCCAGCTAATTTTTTGTATTTTTAGTAGAGACGGGGTTTCACCATGTTGACCAGGTTGGTCTCGATCTCTCGACCTTGTGATCCACCCGCCTCGGCCTCCCAAAGTGCTGGGATTACAGGCTTGAGCCACCGCGCCCGGCCTGGATCTGGTCTTTCTAAGTAGGAAATGCCAAAACCCCCAGTCTTTCTCCCCTGTCCTGTAATAGTCCTCAGGACACCTTCAAAAATGATACAGTTCCGTGAATTATTATTTGAAAACCACAGAACTGGATCATCTCTGGGGTAGGATCTTGCCCCTGAGTCAGTGATTTTAACGTTTTTTCAGACCATTTTTTTCCCCACATATATTCTGTTTTATTGAGGGAAGAACTGTAGATAAAATGTCTAGCATGGTGTGAATAATAAACTACTAATGTGAAGACTGATAAGTAACTCAAGTATTACAGAGTCATTAAATATAGGGATTTTTAAGGCAATATTTAAAAATAGAATTTTACTTTCATAAATCTGTTTTTAGACAGAGGCCATTCTTCTCATTATCACCACCACCTTTTACCTTTTAAAATTATCTGTTTCATTCAGGGCAGACAGTTGAGTAGGGATTGCTATGTAATGAATAATGTAATGAGTACATTGTAACTTAGTATAAAAACATGGCATTCTAGCAAGAGTTGGCAAACTGTGGCTCAAGAGCTAAACCTGGGCCCTTGCCTGTGTTTTTACATACACAGTCATTTCATCTGCAAATAAAGAAAACATTCTTCCTTTCCCATCTGCATGCCTTTTTCTTTTCTAGTCTCACTGCATTAGGTGGGAATTCCAATGAAATGTTGAGTAGACTGGTAAGGGAGAACATCCTTACCTTGTTCCCAGTCTTCAGAGAAAAGCTTTCAATTTCTTACCATTGAGTGTGATGTTGACTTTCAGTTTTTTGTGTTCTTTTCCTATTTTGTTGAAATCTTTTATCATGAATGGGTATTGCATTTTTTCAGATCTTTTTTCTGTATCAGTTGATATGATCATATATTTGTCTTCTTCAGCCTGAATTACATAGATTGATTTTCAAATGTTGAGCTGTCTTTGCATATGTGGAATAAATCCTGCCTTGTTATGGTGTATCTTTTTATACATTGTTGATTTGACTTGCTAATATTTTGCAGAGGATTTTGCATCTGTGTTCATGAGAGGCATTGTAGTTATCCTTTCTCATGGTGTCTTTATCTGTTTTTGGTGATATCGGGCTCATGTAATGAGTTAGGGAATGTTTCCTCTGCCTTTAATTTTGGAAAAGATTGTGGAAAATTGGTATTGTTTCTTTCTTAAATGTTTGGTAGAATTCACCAGGGAAATTATCTGGGCCTGGTGCTTTCTTTTGTAGAAAGTGATCTTTAAATATATATATATAATTGCATTTTAGGTTCTGGGGTACATGTGCAGAACATACAGGATTGTTGCATAGGTACATACATGGCAATGTGGTTTTGCTGCCTCCATCCTGTCACCTACATCTGGCATTTCTCCCCATGTTATGCCTTCCCAACTCCCTACCCCCTGCTGTCCCTCCCCCAGTCCCCCACAACAGACCCCAGTGTGTGATGCTCCACTCCCTGTGTCCGTGTATTCTCACTGTTCAACACCTGCCTATGAGTGAGAACACGCGGTGTTTGATTTTCTGTTCTTGTGTCAGCTTGCTGAAAACGGTGGTTTCCAGATTCATCCATGTCCCTACAAAGCACACAAACTCATCATTTTTTATGGCTGCATAGTATTCCATAGTGTATATGTGCCACATTTTCCTTGTCCAGTCTATCATAAATGGGCATTTGGGTTGGTTCCAGGTCTTTGCTATTGTAAACGGTGCTGCAGTGAACATACCTGTGCATGTATCTTTATCATAGAACGATTTATAATCCTTTGGATATATACCCAATAATGTAATTGCTGGGTCAAATGGAATTTCTGTTTCTAGGTCCTTGAGGAAGCGCCACTGTCTTCCACAATGATTGAACTAATTTACATTACCAACAACAGTGTAACAGTGTTCCCGTTTCTCCACATCCTCTCCAGCATGTATTGTCTCCAGATTTTTTAATGATTGCCATTCTAACTGGTGTGAGATGGTATCTCAATGTGGTTTTGATTTGCATTTCTCTAATGACCAGTGATGATGAGGATTTTTTATATGTTTGTTGGCCTCATATACATCTTCTTTTGAAAAGTGTCTATTCATATCCTTCACCCTCTTTTGAATGAGTTTGTTTATTTGTTTTCTTGTAAATCTGTTTAGTTCTTTGTAGATTCTGGATATTAACCCTTTGTCATATGGGTAGATTGCAAAAATTTTTTCCCATTCTGTTGGTTGCCGGTTCACTCTAATGATTGTTTCTTTTGCTGTGAAGAAGCTCTGGAGTTTAATTAGATCCCATTTGTCTATTTTGGCTTTTGTTGCCAATACTTTTGGCATTTTAGTCATGAAGTCCTTGCCTATGCCTATGTCCTGAATGGTTTTGCCTAGGTTTTCTTCTAGGGTTTTTATGGTGTTAGGTCTTATGTTTAAGTCTTTAATCCATCTAGAGTTAATTTTAGTGTAAGGTATCAGGAAGGGGTCCAGTTTCTGCTTTCTGCACATGGCTAGCCAGTTTTCCCAACACCATTTATTAAACAGGGAATTCTTTCCCCATTGCTTGTTTTTGTCAGGTTTGTAAAAGATCAGATGGTTATAGATGTGTGGCATTTCCTCCGAGGCCTCTCTTCTGTTCCGTTGGTCTATACCTCTGTTTTGGTACCAGTACCATGCTATTTTGATTACTGTAGCTTTGCAGTATAGTTTGCAGTCAGGTAGCATGATGCCTCCACCCTTGTTCTTTTTGCTTAGAATTGTCTTGGCTGTGTGGGCCCTCTTTTGGTTCCATATGAAGTTTAAGGTGTTTTTTTCCACTTCTGTTAAGAGGGTCACAGGTAGCTTGATTGGGGGTGGCATTGAATCTATAAATTACTTTGGGCAGTATGGCCATTTTCACAATATTGATTCTTCCTAACCATGAGCATGGAATGTTTTTCCATCTGTTTCTGTCCTCTCTTACTTCCTTGAGCAGTGGTTTGTAGTTCTCCTTGAAGAGGTCCTTCACATCCTTTGTTAGTTGTATTCCTAGGTATTTTATTCTCTTTGTAGCAGTTGTGAATCGCAGTTCATTCTTGGTTTGGCTTTCTTTAAGTCTGTTATTGATGTATAGGAATGCTTGTGATTTCTGCACATTGATTTTGTATCCTGAGACTTGGCTGAAGTTGCTTATCAGTTTCAGGAGATTTTGGGCTAAGATGATGGGGTCTTCTAGATATACAATCATGTCGTCTGCAAATAGAGACAATTTGACTTCCTGCTTTTCTAATTAAATACTCTTTATTTCTTTTTCTTGCCTGATTGCTCTGGCTAGAACTTCCAATACTATATTGAATAGGAGTGGTGAGAGAGGGCATCCTTGTCTAGTGCCAGATTTCAAAGGGAATGCTTTCAGTTTCTGCCCATTCGGTATGATATTGGCTGTGGGTTTGTTATAAATAGCTTTCATTATTTTGAGATGAGCGTTTTTATCATAAAGCACTGTTGAATTTTGTCAAAGGCCTTCTCTGCATCTATTGAAATAATCACATGGTTTTTGTCTTTGGTTCTGTTTATGTGGTGGATTACATTGACTCACGTATGTTGAACCAGCCTTGCATCCCCTACTTGATTGTGATGGATAAGGTTTTTGTTGTGCTGTTGCAATCAATTTGCAGGTATTTTATTGCAGATTTTTGCATCAATGTTCGTCATAGATATTGGCCTCAAGTTTTCTTTTTTTGTTGAGTCTCTGCTGGGTTTTGGTATCAGGATGATGTTGGTCTTATAAAATGATTTGGGAAGGATTCTCTGTTTTTGGATTGTTAGGAGTAGTTTCAGAAGGAATGGTACCAGCTCCTCTTTGTATGTCTGGTAGAATTCGGCTGTGAACCCATCTGGACATGGGCTTTTTTTAGTTATAGGCTATTAATTGCTGCCTGAACTTCAGCCCTTGTTATTGGTCTGTTCAAGCTTTCATCTTCTTCCTGGTTTAGGCTTGGGAGGGTGCAAGTGTCCAGGAATTTATCCATTTCTTCCAGGTTTACTGGTTTATGTGCATAGAGCTGTTTGTAGTAATCTCTGATGGTAGTTTGTATTTCTGTGGAATCTGTGGTGATATCCCCTTTATCGTTTTTTATTGCATCTATTTGATTCTTCTCCCTTTTCTTTTTTATTAATCTGGGCAGCAGTATGTCTATTTTGTTGATCTTTTCAAAAAACAAGCTCCTAGATTTACTGAATTTTTGAAGGGTTTTTTTTTGTGTCTCTA